TTGTGATAGGTGGCCCCCCAACTACATTTTCACCGTTAAGCCTAATTTTGCGAATATGCGGATAGTTCTTTGAGTATATTCTTGTAGAGGAAATCAAGTAGATCATTTCTAGAAAAAACCCGAACTCAATATTCAAATTCTATCGAGAGAAAAAAAGCCGCGAAAAAATCCGCAATAATTATGCATCAACCGAATAAAATTAGCTTGAAATGTAGTAAGCAAGGCCCCCACTCCCCCTCCCTCCTCACCCTCTCGCCCACCACTTCTGCTCGAACTTGCCTAAAAATTCGGGAGAGCATCGATGTGGAATGAAGTAGTTTTACTCCCACACTTTCACCCTCCTGCTCACGCACGTACGTTCTCAAGTATCGCTCTAAAATATAATGACTTCAATTGCAATCGTGAGAAAAATGGCTGATAGTACTCTCCCGTCTGCCACCTCCTCCCCCTTCCATTTTCTTTGCCAATTTTCAAAATAATATAAAACATTTTGCACTTTCTTCGTACTTATGATGAGTACCGCGGAAAGAACCTCAAATTTGACGAAAACAATTATCCCTAACTTACACAATGCATATGTACGACTACTCGACAGGATACCAGCCCCGTGTCAAGAACTCTCATGGCCCGCTTGCTCCCAATTCTCATTCCCTAAAGAGTAGTTCTAAATTATTAAGTTCTCCCTTTCTATGCGCGTCTTCTGAGAAGGGATTCATGACTAATTTAAGCGACGATGGCAATTCTTGAGGGGGTTTTCTTCGCAACCTGTACTACACGAATTTTTTGAGCAATTCGACTGGAACGCTTCTCCTTGGACCATATAGACCTTTAAAAAAAAGTTGTCGAACGCCACTTACACTCTTGTGTTAAGCTAATGTCTCGGAATACGTTCATGGTAAGAAAATGTAAAAATTTTTGAAAATATTCGTGAAAAATCCGAGCAAAATTCTCATTTTGCAACCAAAAATCAAGAAAATGATTTTATAAGACCATAATTTGTCTACTTTTTATAGCTCATTACTCTTATCAGTGAGAAAGACTGTGCAAAACAAGTGAAACCATGAAATAACCATATTCTCTGAGCAAACTATTCAAATGAATGAATATTGAAGAAGAAGTTCAAATCAATGAATATTAAAGAAGAAGATCCAATAAGAGTTCGACGGAAGTCATTTTTCAACATTTTTCCATTCAACAGTTCCGCCAAAACCAGAAGAATGAAGGAAAAGTTGATTTGTGCAGGAACTGCCACGAGATCGATTCCGGCCAGGGTAAAAACTTTGGAAAGTTCAGTAGATCAGTGGCACGATCGAAGTCGATGGATAGCTATAGCAAGCCAATGAGCAGCATTCTGATTGAATTAGAAGAAAAAAGCCACCGATTTCACCTTCAAAATAGGAAATTAAGGTGAAGAAAGGCAGGAGCTACTCGGTTGGCAAGTAAAGTCTCAAGTTATGCCAGGAGGCTGAAAAGGGAAAACTCGGGATAGCATAAGTGATAGAAATTTCTCGCAAGTATCATTCGAATGAACGAAAATGAAATGGAATGTATCTGTCGTTCCAGTAATTGATTGCGGTCGATTGAAAGGAAAGCGTGCAAGACTCTCCCAGACCGAAGCGGACTATCGCACAGTGGGTAGGTGGCGCGATGGGCGCGACTGACGACGACGACTGACAGATCGTCGAGAAGTGAAGGAAGGACGACAGGGCCGCCCGTGACACCATGAGAAAACAGCCAACGAGCCGACAAATGAGAAGACCGCAACTCGGCGCTTTAGGGGACCCAGCCCGAGCTCAACTCCGTTCACCGTCAAACATGAGGTAACAAAGGCATAAGAGTAGAGTCAACAGTGTCGAATTACGCGAGAAAACCTTGGAAATCTGGAATTGACGTCGCCATCTCTTCAAAGGGATGACGATACCTCTGTATTCAAGGGTTCAGCTAGGAAATGTTGAAAAGCCTTCTTTTAGGATGTTCTACCAAAGCACAAAGCTACGGAACCAAGTAGACGGATTCCTTCCCGTCCCAGGAGGACATGTGGAACGAGTCTTCTAGAGCCTATTAGATCTGGTACAAGGGCAGTTTACCAGGCGTGTTGTCAAGCCAGCGAAACTACATTCGCTCCCAGGGGGTAAGAAGTAAGTGAGCTTCGAAAAACAACAGCAATGACATGAAAGTAGGCAACTTCTTAGTCATCTGGTTTCATTCTTACAACAATGCCCTCACTTTCCATGAATTATGCGGTAGGAAAAATGATTGATTGTTTTTCTCCACATGATTTCATTATATCTATTGTGACACATCTGCTTTTCCAACAACGTCACCATTCAGAATTGGAAAGTAATCAACCTAACCACAGATAGGTTCCAGTTTCTCTTGGAGCTATGATTAGGGACTTGGATGACTCAACAGAGGGCTACCTGTATCTTCCAGTCAAGTTCCCCCGCAGAACTTCAAGTGTGGACATAGGTGAACTAGTAGGGACTGATCTTGGTTACTGCTATCCAGACCGAGACTGCTGCGTACATCGCCCAAACAAGTTATTCCTAACAAGGTTTGAGAGGGAGAAGGTTGGCAAGCTTTCCTCAAGCAAGGAAATTTTGCATTTTGGGCTCTATTTATGATAAAAGTTCTTACTCCATTCAAGTAAAACGAATAAATACAAAGTAAAGGTAAATATTAATAGGTGACGTAAAATAGTTACAAATAAAAAGTTAGAGGGTCAGATTTCTCAGAAGAGCTTATGTGAGAGTATTCTGAAATCAACTACCCTAAAATTCCATAGATAAGAGCGGTTGAAACTACCGGTGAAAAATGAATTGGAATGAAATTGAAATTGAATACAGTCACCCTCTAACTTGATGGATGGATAAAATAAACTTCGAAGAAGAAGTTAAGAAGAAGCTCCGCCCTTTAACTCCAAACCCCGCCCACTTAATAAACAATTAATGTAGAAAAATAGCGATCCATTAAAACCGCTATTGAATTTTAGGGTAGATAAAAAATAGTTTCGAAATGTCTCTGGAGAACATCCAAGAATAAATTTTCTGTCTCATTAGGGTTTGCCAAGTTATTTTTGCGTGTGCATGTAATAATAAATACCGACAAAGTAGTACGAGGCTACCAGAAATACCAATAAATATAATAATACCAATGAAAATAGTATATGTGGATTAGAATTTGGTCTAAATGTCTCCACAACTCCAATAGTAAGTGGAATGCATGGCGCATTCTGATCCGGACTGATGTTGAGTGTTAGCTCTCTCTTGTTGGTCGGTGGAATTAAGAATGGAAATCAAACAAATGAGGAAAAATGTTCGGATGCTAAAGGAGCTTTCAAAAATAGTGATATCCGAAAAAATTGTCCAAACACTCTTTCGATAGAAGTAAATATAAGCTTCGGGCGTGAAATCATCTATACATACATCTCGGTGTCGAACATTTGCGTGTTCAAACATAAAATAAACAATCGTCGAGGTAAAGCAAACAACGGAGAACAGGAGCTAGATGTTAAAGGATGAAGCGAATAGGAATATTCATTGAGGGAAAGCCGAGCTTCGAAACTCCATGGAAGGTTTGAAGACGAACAGAAACAGAGAACTCGGGTTGTTTAGAAAAGCCACTGGTATGGTCTTTACATAGTTTTACGTCACAAGTTACCAGTAAGGGTAAATTAAACATTCACCGTTGAAGTCTTTTACACGATCAATACCATCTGAGGGATGCGCCCCCCGGACACGACTATCGTTCCGAATCGCAGTAGCGTTTGAATGTGTACGCGACCTATACAATGACATGCGGTGACCAGCCGATATGAAAGTCAGTGCTTTTATCTTTAGAAGAGTCTGGTACCAACTTATCGATCCCGAGAGAATGATTCGGGACTGGATCCCCTGACCGTGTACGTGACGTGCGCCATTTGGCACTGCTTAATGTCTGCCCCAAAAAGATCATCAGATCGTCGATATACAGGAACAGGAGTCTCAAGAGCTAAAAGTTTTTGTCTGATGCAGTTCGACGAAGGCTCGGGTGGAAAAACCCTCAAGAATGCAGAGCGTTACCAAGCGGATTTACGCTGGTAATTTGATAAAAGTATCGGAAAAGTGCAGGAACTTGACGTTTCCTTCAAAACTCGAAAACGATGGATGAAAAGGAATAAAGGAATGATCAGAAAGAGTAAGATACTGGAAAAAGAAAGGCTACTAGGTGAAGTAAAATTAGATCCTGCTATTATTCTGCTTGGACTAACCTTTAACTTGTAACAATCGAGCGACATGAAAGTTCTGCTCAGCCGTAGCAAAGGCGTTTTCTAAACGTTCTCCGGCTGTGCTTTGAGAGATTTTCTCCAAATCCACCAGTTTGTCACTGAAAAAGCAAGGTTTTCACTATCCAAAAATGACCAATAACTACTAGATTTGCTGGCATCAGTTGCTGTAGGTTGACCGGAAAGTACCCTAAAATTCCATAGATAAGAGCGGTTTAAATTACAGATGAAAAATGTATTGGAAAAAATTGAATTTGAATGCAGTCACTCCTCTAACTTGATGGATGGATAAATAAAAATCGGAGGAGAAGTTTAGAAGAAGCTCCGCCTCCTTAACTCTAAACCCCGCCCACTTAATAAACGATTCATATAGAAAAATAGCGATTTTGACGGATCGCTATTTTTCTATATGAATTGTTTATTAAGTTAATTTTTCACCGGTAGATTAAACCGCCCTTATCTATGGGATTTTAGGGTATGTTTGTGATGGGTTAATCAGCAGCTGTTCCAGTAGCTACCCTTTGCTCTAGATAACACTTAATCTTGCTTCAGATAGATAAATATTATGAGTACTATATGTCATTGGAAGTCAACAAAGAAACTCGAGATTGCACTGTCATTGGCCTTTACTAACAGTTTGAGCTCGGATAGCTTGTTAGCCTACCCATTACAGGAAAAAGATGAAAGATGGACTTGACGAAATTGAAGTATTGTAAGTCAGGGGCAGCCTACACCGTTCTCAGGCACCAACTTTCTTCTAGGCAATTGGGAGCTCCTTGAACCGACAGTAGACGTCGAGAGGTATGCCCACCTAGACTTATTGCTCCTTTCGAAAAATTCTGAAAAATATTTCGCGGTATGGAGTCCACGGTGAACTAGCTAATTTAGTCACTTGATAATTTGATGATTTTTGGATAAAGTTTTGATGAAGACCAAAGAGACCTTACTACATGCGGCCTCACGGAAAGGTGATTGTAGAATTGGCAGTGGTCAATCCACAGAAATCATTACAAGTCGATGATCATCCGACTGACAGCTGCTGAGAAGCCTCCAGAAGACTTCGAGGCTGCGGTTAGTTGCCCTTCTTGAGATTTTGTGCGTGCTCTGTGAAGCCTTACAATTTCCCAAGGGCTGTGAAGACTTAAAATCATGCTTCGTTCCATCATGATTACTACTTTTTACATGGACGGTTTCCCTAAATTCGCTTCTTCTATGGACTTTCCTCTACGCTTCCCTCAATACACAGGTCCCACAATTTCCCCTGTCTTTCTTTCTTCGCTCGAAAATGTCTATCCCTCTACATACTATCATCCTCCCCTCCTCCCCCGCTTTTTTCTACTCTACTCGTTAAAGTAAAAGTAAGTAAGTAAAAGTAAGTGAAACCTAATAAAGCTTCGGATCTCTTCTGGAAAAGCCACCACGTTATCGAGGTTTCCCTTACTTTTCCAGGTTCTTAGCGGGGACAAAATGAAAATAGAAAGGGTAGAAAACGTAAAAAAGAAATCCTGGTGAAATGAAAATGCAACAAACTCGAAATTGTGGAGAAGAATGTTGAATGCAAAGCCATCACGCCACGACGATGTAAAATCACAAACAGACACCTCTTCGTAGTCTTTTGTCACTTCGGTACACCATTGTTTCATGGCCTCTGTCAGCTACAAAGATCGATTTATCGATCANTGTAATTACGGTAGCTCAAACAAACCTTGTCGTCCTTGATCGGATCAGGTCCGTATTTTTTCCAAAACGCTTGCACCAGATTCCACCATGTTTGCAGTACGGCTTTTTGTTGGCTGTCGGCCAATTCGGACGGGGACGTTTTTGTGTCACCAATACATGCCAAAATTGACGCGCAATCGTCAATCCGATTCCCGGTTATGGCCTGAAATGGGGATATTCTAAGGGGAACGTCAACTTCTCCTAACATTTCTGCTTCTCCCTTTTTTTAGTGGTGACAATTGGGAATCTCAATAGGTATGACATTAGTTTAGGCCTTACTCAGGCCCATCACTCAATAAAAACCTAATTGGTATTCACAGGAGAATACCGCTTATCAGGCAGCCCAGAAGAAGTGGCCAAATAAGTGTTGCCGGGTATATGACTGATTTCTGAGCGGATATCGAGAGTTTAGGACGGAGCCATCTTTCTTCTGCTTACGTATTTCTTCAAGTGTTAGGTAACCGGTACTCATTGAATGGAGTGTACTGAATCACGTAGGGGCAGGTAGGATTACAGACATTACTGACAATCGCCGAAGTCGATAGGGAGTAAAAAGTTGGAGAGTGGATAGGATTATGCCTGTCCTCCAGAGCCTTCGAGGACCATGCCTACGGTTTGATTATGAGCAGCTAGTTTACTATAATATAATACTCTTTGCCCTTGATATTATTATATATTTTCATATCAGCTGTATTTTATTTACATATTTCATGGCTATATTACAA